TTTTGGACAAAGTGTTTCTCTCCCTCTTGTGACTGCTGATTAAAGCTGCTACATGTCCCCCTGGGAGGACAGCCTCCCTGAAAGGCAGGGAAAAGGTGAAGTAACTGATGGACAATACATTGGGTGACTGGCCCCTTATTTGTCTGCTTGTTTTTAATGAAAGTGTAAGGGTCTTTTAAAAAATGCTCTAGGATCCTTTGAGATGCACTTTGGAACCCCCAAGAAAGTTTTGGGAACTGTGGCACAAAAATAAACTATTCCAGGACCTTGTTAAATGGAACAACCATCTCTTCTTCCGCAAGTCTTCATGAAGTAACAAATTAAAAAGGGGGTGGAATGGGTAGGAAAAGCAGCATAATAATTCATCACTAAACTCGGTCTTTCTGCCAGCCGTCTGCAGCCTGGTAGTATATTTCACTGGTTATAAATTAACAGAGGCCCCACAACAGATTTTGCCTGCTCCTACTCCTTCTCTCACTCTCTCTCTGTTTCTCTCTCCTCCTACCTCCCTTCTTCCCCCTCATCCTGCTTAATGTCCTGCAGTCACGAAGTATTGTAACCGACCACGAGGCACGCAAATCAGAGATGTTCTCTGCTGTAGTCTTGGGAGGCACCAATGCCCTCTGCAGGTCTAGATTGCCCTTCTCCCTGATGAGAACCATAGTCAGTAGGAAACTCTAGCAGAATTTCATCTATCAATGTCCAGCGAGGACAACAAGAGGTCAAGGCTAGCAACCAGCAATGCTCAGAAAGTTGGCCATAGGGTTTGGATGACTTTTCTGGACATCCCAAATCCCTGAAGCATGTCAGATTGAACTGGAGACCTAAGGCTCCTATTTTCAGCTCCTATCCTGGCTGAAATTAAGTCATTGAAATGGATATAAATTAGGAAAAAAAATACATACACACACACACACTATTGTATATGGAGAAAAGAAGGAAACAAGCATTTAGTGTAAAGCACTTTACAAAAAGTATCCCATTTAATAATAGTAAATAATACAACATAACGTAGTATGGTATAATATAGTGTGACATGACATAATATGATACGATATAACATAGCATATATTGTATAATATAATATGATATAATACAATATATACAAACTCTATCATCATCATGGCTAGCATTTTTATAGTGCCTACCATAAGTCAAGTGGGCAGGTAGGTGGCACACTGCATAGAGCACCAAGCCTAGAGTCAAGAGGACCTGAGTCCAAATGTGTCCTCAGACACTTACTAGCTGTGTGACCCTGGACAAGTCATTTAACCTTGTTTGCCTCCATTTCCTCATCTGCAAAATGAGCTGGAAAAGGAAATGGCAAACCAGTCCAGTATCTTTGCCAAGGAAACCCCAAATGGGGTCATGAAGAGTCAGATATGACTGTCAACTAAACAATAATTGTACTAAGTATTTTACAAATATCATGCCATTTAAACCTCACAACAACCCTGGGAGGTAGGTGCTATTATCATCCCCATTGAGTTGTATGGCAGCAACCTACAATCTCATTTGAGAAAACTGAGGCAAATAGAGGTTAAGTGACTTGCCCAGGGTCACACAGCTTGTAAGAGGCCAGTTTTGAACTCAGATCTTCTGTTCCTTCCTACTCCATCATCTTGAGCAAGTCACTTACCTCTCTAGACCCCAGTGTCCTCATATGAAAAATGATGGGGTGGGACTAGATTACCTCTAATGATTCTTCCAGATCTGTCTGTGTCTGTGATCCTAAGGCAGGGCAAGGGTATAGACAACCCCAAATAGTAGATAACACAAAATCCCACAATATCTAGCTTTGAGATTCATCATGTGATTTTTCCTGCAGTGACTTTGTCTTTCTAATTATGTTTTGCTTAGGCTGATAAATGAATTTGCTTTCCTTGAGTACATAGTAGCTGAGTGGTGAAAGGGCAAGAGGGCACAAGAACAGTGTGGGTACTTGCTGGGGGAGGGGGTGGAGATGAAGCTGCCCTGGAGGTTGTCCAAAGTTTTAATCATCGGCTGAGCCCTCACTTCTCTGGGGCTGTCATCCCCAGTCCTCAGTTTAACCATGATCCTCCCTTTCTCTGAATTTTGGTGGGGTGATTGGAAATGGTATTCTGAGAGGAGGACAGAAGGGTGAGAAAAGCTGATGAGTTGTGTCTGGCGAGCATTTGCTCTGAAGTAGGAGCATCAGGAAACCCAGGACCTGAATAGTGTGCAAATGCAGGAAATGAGGAAGCCCCCAGACAGATGCTTAGGGGATACACATGCCATCCCCTTGTCTAGACCCATTAAAATCCCTGTAACATGTATAACTGTGTCCCTGAGCCCTTGAGGTCTCAGCCTTGGGAACTATATGCAAATCCCAGGCTTTCTGTGCTGGGATTTCTCAGCAAGTGGGGCACAGACTCTGATTGAGAGTCAATAAAATATTGAATTCTGCAGCAAACACTGTCTGTCTCTGGCTTTCCCAGAATCCCAACCTATGCTATCATTAGAACATACAGAACCAGGAATTGAGGCCCTCCTATGATCATACCAGAGTAACTCAGGTAGTAGGTTTTTGCAGAGCTCGGGAATGGGGAGTCGAAGCTAGACTGGTGAGACAAAAACCCTGTTGCCCCAGATTGGTGATCATGACAAGGGGAAGGAAGCAGATATCCTAACAGTGCCATTCTAACAATCAGTGACCAAAATATCCCTTATCACCAGGAGTGGAGAAGGCTCTCAGATCTACCCTTCAGAATACAGGATGTCATCCACTGGTGGGTGGGAATGGGAGGGTTCAACAGGAGAGGATGGAACCATGAGGGACCCTGAAAGCTTTTCCCTTAACACTTTCCCAGGGCAAGAACACACACTAAGGCAGCAGGTGTGAAGTTTCCCCTGCAAAAAATATCCCTGATATTCCAGATGCCTGCTCAGTGTGGTTCCTCTCACTGAGAGCTGAGAATTATACCCATGAAAGGCAGCAGCATGGAGGAGAGAAGGCAGGCAAGGAGGGGAGAGGGAAGAGGGTGAATGAAGAGGAAAGAGGGAAGAGAAGAAAAAGGGAAGCAAATACAGATAGGAGTAAAGGTACAGAGCAACAAGAAGAATTGGGCTATTGGAGGAAATTTTGTAGATGGGGAGATAAGCTTCTGGATCCTGATCCTACTGGCCATATTAACTGCCTCTTTAGGATTATAAAAGAACTTTAAGAGATCTGCCTCAGTTTCCTTGCATGAGGAGGGCAATAGCCCTTATCTGATTCTATGGAACCTTATGCAGCATAATTAGCCAATGACTACAATTTTCTTTCGTTGAGAAAAGCTCCATTTAAATTTCCAGAATTTATGACAGGCTTGTGAATATTTAGTTAATTACTTCTTTAAGTGTTCTCTTCTCTCCACAAAGAGGTAGGCAACTTTCCATACATGCTTGGCATCTCTTCAGCTGGTGATATTACAATGCCTACCTAGTATGCTTGAGAAAGGAGACCTCATTCAAACTAAAACAAAGGAAAAAATGATTTCTTCTCTCTTGTTTTATTTCTTAAGTGTTGTGAGCATGCAGACTCGTTCTTTCTGTGTGCTACATTCTCTAATACTCATAAAATTCAATCTCCACCTGACTCTGAGAATAGAGCCACCATGGACATTCTGTCTCCTCCCTTCTCTCCTCCCTCCCCACCCCCACCCCTATCCTTCCATTATTCAAGTTTCTCTCCTGCAGGGACATTGAAGAATTGCTTCCGCAGGTTGTGAATGATGAAGGAATAAATATAAAATCCCTTTTTGGTGCTTAGGGAGAGAGTGGGAGGGAGGGCAGGAGGGAGCAATAGACATTTAAGAGGAGGAGACGAGAGGAAAACAGTGGGAATGCTGAGAGAGAGGAGGGGAGAGCAGAGACAAAAAAGGATAGTTAGAAAGGGTCCAGGAAGGAAATGAAAGGGACATTGGTTGTGGCACAGATCATCGAATTACAGATTTGGAAGGGATCTTATGGACCATTTGGTCCAACTTCTACCTACCATTTCCTCATCCCTGTTTCACAGAGTGAGGACAAGTGGCACTGGAGATATTAGACAGTTCTCAGGGTTTCATCAAGCTCCCAGTTTTAGCATTGCCAGGATCCTAACTCCCAACAGTACAGATTCTAGTCCCTGGCTTCATATGCTATTGCACTGCCCTCGGCTCGCCATTCCTCCGTCAATGAAGGGATTGTATTTACAGAAGCTAAAAACCGTCTCCTCCATTCGCTGACTTCAGAGAAAGAGGTTGCCCTCTCTCCTATGATAGGAATTTTCCTGGCTACTTTTCTGTAATTGAGTTTCTCTTTGAGTAGGACCCAGAATCTCCTTAAAGAAAACACCTTCATTCTTTCTCATTAGTTAGTCTACCTTACATCCACGAAGCACCAAATCTGGCAAACAGACATACTGAAATCTTTTTCTTCTGATTCCAAACTTGCACAGGCCTCATTCAGTGCCTTGGAAAGGTATGTTTTGTCAGCAGTCCACAATGGACAATAATCTCTTACTAACTAGCCATGCAAATCATTCCCACAGGCTGAATCTATAAAGAAAGGTGAAAATGGAGATGCTTCCCAATTTGCTTGACAAGGAAGGTGCATTCATTCCAAGCTTCCAAGATGCAGCACACATTACGTTGGTTGATGCCTGTCCAATAGGCACCCTTCTCCTGTCCCATAGCCATCCTGCTCGTGTCCAATCTGATTGATTGACTGCCTTACGTTGACAGCCTAATGAGCGATTACACCACACATGCTGGAACCCAAAGATGAGTAATGGATTGATTGACATGCCCAAGATCTGACTTGATCCACAGCCCTCCTTGTGGATAACGCTAATGGCTGGGGAATTAAAATGTAGCTTCTTGACTAATGAATGCAGCTTGTTGCTTATATTCACATATGCCTAACACATCTCTGGAAGCCAGCAAGCAGTCACAATTTCTAAATTATTTATCAGATCCCTATCCTCCACCCCAAAAAGAGAGTTTTCATAAGCATTCATTTATTTATTACATGGACCAATATGTAGAGTAATTGCTTGGGTTTTGTGATTTCTTTTTCCTATGGATGTTTCCCCTATTCAACAGCAGGGGGGAAAAAAGAGAGAAAATACCATGTCAATGTCATTTGAATCATAATAGCTACAAATTCACTCCCCTGAATAAATAGAGAGACTTATTTATCAAACACAGACAAAGATGTCTGTCGAGTTGTTAACAGAGGGAGAGAGATTTGAGTAGGCAGAAGCAATTGCAAAAGTTTGCATATCTACAAAGCTCTCGAGGGAGGAGCAGCCTCCCTCCTGGCCCCTAGAACCTTGAAGTTGTAGCTTCTGTTAAGAGACTTGATTGGCCAGCTGAACTTGGGCTGTCAGAATTGATCAAGAAATAAAACAGGGAAACTAGGGGAGGGGGAAGAGGAGCCCACAGCGCTGGGGGCCTGCATCTCATCAGGAGGAGCCAATGACAGCCGTCTCTCGCTTCTCCTCCCCTCCCCACCCACAGCCTCTAGTACCTTGTAGGCTCTCATTACAGATGACATATGAGGAAGGATGGGCAGAGCCCAGTGGAGAAGTCTTCTATTCAGTTCACACTTGGAAGGGTCCAGGAAAACAGAAGGAAAAGCCTTTAGGCCAAACTATTCTTTTTAAAAAAAAAATTCTGTTTTTCAATTCATGGTTCTACCATTCTGTCATTTTCATTTTTCATTTGTGCCCTTTGCCTTTTCTCAGCTGGAAGGGTCTAAGGGCTGCTGCTGAACCCATTCCTAAACAAATCCCCCTCAATATCTCTGGTCTCCTATCTTCTCCCAGACCTAAGATCTCAGTCCTGTTGTCTGCAGCCAAAAGGGAGAGGGTTACCTCACAATGAGAAATCTTTCTAGTCATTTACGTTGAGAATAGAATTGGGGGCAGGGAAGAGGGGGTGTTTAAAATGAATTTAAAGGACTGGAGATACCTCCAAATTGTGCTTTTTTTCCCCTGTCATAGATCACAGACCTGGAACAAAGAGGGGCATTGTAGATAATCTAGTCTAGACCTCTCATTTTACAGAGGAGGAAACTGAGACCCAGAGATTTGCCCAAGGTCACCACTTGGTTAATTAATGACATGACTGGGATGAGAACAGTTTCTTTGCTTGAAGTTTGAGAATCTTTCTAGTAGATAAGGCTGGCCCCCACCCCCAGAGCTATTCCAGAGCTCAAATAATAGACCAGATTCCATCTTCTTCTAAACCTCCCTGGCGGTATTTTACAGGTTCATCTTTCTCTAAACAGTGATTCAACACTTCTCCTTCTCTGACGAGGGAGCAGTTAATCCTCTCTCCTTTAGACCCCCAAACTAGCCTGTACTGCAACTATCTTGAAAGCTGAAGATTCCCCAGGAGAGAAGGAGGAAAGTGTAATAACCCAAAGCAACAACAAGGATCAGAAAGTTCAAAGCCTGGCCAATGAGACAGAATAAAACTCTCACCGTGAGTCTCACCTCAGCCCTTCATGGGCTGTCATTTGTAAAATCACATCTCCACCTGCAGAACTTTCTTCCCAGCTGGCAGTCAGGAGTTCAGAGGTCAAATGATAAAAGAAACACTGACTTCTCATTTGCATTCTGCCAGGTCACAAAGGATCCTGGGGGAGACGGAAAGGGGAGGGACCCAGGAGTTTAAAAGGGGGCAGTTTGTGATGCTCTTAGAGCCTTTGTGATGAACTGAGTACCACCTTCGAAGTGGAACAGAGAGGTAACTGCCTATTAACTCTTCTATTTTCTGAATACCCATAGCACTTAATCCAGGCCTTTGGGCACTGAGAAATCTGCTGTCCTGGATTATTCTGTTGTATAGATTCAAAGAATGTTAGCATTTGTAATACCTTATAGACTACTTAACTACTCAACACCTTCATTTTTCAGATGAGTAAACTGGGACCTAGTGTGGTCACACAGCTAATTATTGAAAGAGTTGGGACCTTACGGAAGGTCCCCTTTAAAAGTAGGTGGGGCATCAGAAGTCATGTTGTTCTTGAGTCATCTGGGTAATGGTTTGATTGAGATTGCCAAAGATTTGACTTGCAGAATTTTACAGATCTGACTTGCCCGCATTTTACAGATGAGGAAACTAAGGTGCAGTGAGGTAAAGGAACTTGCATGAGGTTACATGAGTGGTAAGTAACCAAGACTGATCTTATCACTCCAAAGCTAGACTTATTTCCACTGCACCATCTTTTCCTTCTACCAGAGGAACTCCTTTTGGATTCCTGTACTCCTTCGCTTCTGGTAAACCTTGCCACAACCCCTATTTAAAACTTAACATGAAAGGAAAAAAAAATCCTAAAATTTGCCATGCATTTCACATAAAACATAAAATAAAATAAGGAGATTAATTTTTCATAAATAAAATTATTTGATTTATAGCAACTTTCTTCCCCATGAACAGTACTACTTCTATAATGTTATGAGGTGGTAATTTATTATTTTCCAAAAATTTCTCACACTCCTTTCAAAGGTATATGTAACCCCGGTTGGGAATTCCTGCTTTATACCTTGCATGTGTGTACGATTTCTTCCTAATGGAAGGATAATTCTGGTAGTCAGGTCAACAAGCATTTATTAAATTCTGATTATGGGCCTGGCTGTGCTAAGTGCTAGGGATATAAAGAAATGTAAAAAAACAAACGAAAAGCAGTCCTTGCCCTCAAGGAGCTCACAGTCTAATTGGGGAAACAATCTGCAAACTATGTGAAAAGAAGAAATAGATAACAAGATATATACATATATGTATATGTACATATGTACATATATATTTACATGTGTTTATATGATCCAATGTTACATTCCTTTGTATCTTCCACAGTCCCTGAGCACAGTGCTGGGTAGTTAGACACACGCTTAGTCCTTGTTGAATTGGAATTCAGGAGATTGGCTCCTTCTGTCACTACTTTGACATATTGATGGTAGGGAAAGGAACCAGTGGCACAAATAACACAATGTAAATGAGTAATTAAAAAAAAAACATTTTGATTAGGCAGATAAATATAATTTGACTTGCAGCAAATTAACCTTCCCAATATTATTTTGTTTAGGCTGATGTTACAATGGGTTCATTCTCTCTGAGTACCTACTAACAGGTGGAGAGAGAAGACAGTACAGAAATATGTTAGAAGGACAGAAGTGCCAATAAAGGATAATCATCAATTGCCCTCTAGACCCCTATACTTTGGGAACAGATGAGGGCAGCTATAGCTCTGTTCTACCTGGAAAGTCCACTTCATGCTTTGCGAACTGGTGAGCTGTATGACCTGGAGTGAGTTACTTAACCTATCTGAGCCTCACTTAGGTCCTTTACAAAACTGATCCCTGCATCACCTCTCTCATAGGACTATTATGAGAACAAGTGAGGACCGGGGTATACAATACTTTATAAAAGCTGAGCTATTATTATTGTTCTACATTTGATTGACCCAATGCTTAGTACAGTGCCTGGCACATAGTAAGCATTTAAAAAATCTTTACTGATTAATTGGTTGATTGAGTCACTCTAGGTAGCCAGGTTATGATAAATACTTTACCACCAATATTCCACAAAGTAGATTATCTACCTTCTTTGAAGAGATGAATACAGTGGGAATACGCATTGGTCAATCAGGGCTTTAATTGCTTGGAATTCCAACCAACTTCAGAAAGCCCTAGTATTTCAATTAACTTGCGAAAAATGGACAGCATCTGAGTACCTGAACATCTCTCTTTCCCTGCTTCCCAGTTGGGATGCATTGTATTCTAAATAACAATAAGCTGCTCCAGTCAAAGGATGTAATTGAATCTCTTCTTTCTGCTGACATAAGTGGAGCTCCCTTGAGTGAGATACGATGTGTATATTTAATTTGGAGACATGGAGAGGAAGTCAGCCATACTTTCTGAAATTACACTTGGATGTGGCCAGCCTGGTGTTGGTGCCCTCTCTAGTACTGGGTACAATTCTGATTAGCCTAGGGGAATGTCCTCAGAAGTGGAGGGATGGCTAAAGAAGAAAGAGTGGGAAACAGAAAGAAAGAAAGAAACAAGGTGGGAGGGAGTATGGAGAAAGAAGTGGGAGACGTCTGTAGAGCAGAAACACATTCATTAGAGTTTTAATTGGGTTTTCCTATAAGCTGCCCTGCTTAAGTGAAAAGATGGGAGGAGAAAAGAAAAAGAATGATCATGTAGATTTGGGGACCAAAGATAAGAGGGGTATAATTGACTGAGTGCCCTGAAGAGTAGGGAACAGGGCCATAACAAGCAATGTTTGCACCCAAGACAAAAGAATCAAAAAGGACTTTAAGTAGCATGAAACCCCCTCTCAACTCAACTTTTAAAAATCAATTCAGTGGGTGAAGGAAGAAAGACTGGGGCATCCAGATAAAATTGCTAGAGGCGGGAAGGGGACAAGAGTAGGTTAAATGGTGGGGGGGAGTAGAGGATGAGGGGCAGGGAGAACACCTAGGTGGCTCAATGGGTACAGCATCAGACCCTGGAGTCAGGAGGACCTGAGTTTAAATCTGGCCTCAAATACTAGTTGTGTGACCCTGGCCAAGTTGCTTAACCCCAATTGCCTCCAAAAATAAATAAATAAATAAAACAGGTGAAATGGGCCTTGAGCTCAGGCTGTGGCTTCTTCAGTGAAGGAGAAGCCATCTGGCAGCTTCTTATTTTAGTAGCTGTTGTGAATTAGGTACCAAGCTCAATTTCTATGGGGCTGTAGTGCAAGTGATGACGTTGCCCCCTCTAAATTTCAGCCCACTGGGGGCCAGATTTTTGTTCCCTAACCCTAGTTACAGCTCTGGTGGGTGGGATTTATATGTTCCACTAACTTTGTGGGAGTGCTGTAGGAACAAAGAGAAGGGAGCTTCATAAGGCAAAAGGTACGTCTACGAAAGCTTTGCAGTAGTGTTATGACCTGCTAACTCATACACGCATTTATCCCACACATCCTGATTGTCTGAGATTCTGGTGATGGAGATGCTGCCCACACAGATCCTAAGGAAGGCCAGCTGAGTCTTTCCTCCAGTCCCCTGGTTACCTCACCACCTCCCCTCTCTCCCACATAGTCCATACCAAATCAACAAATCGATCATTTATTGACTGAGTCCCTACTGTATTCAAGATAGGGTACGAGGCACTGAGAACAAGATCCTTGCACCTATCCCACAATTCCCAGCTGCATCCTGAGCTAGAAGCTGCCAAATGCAGCACCCCGCACCTGCCCAAAGCTGAGACCAGCATAGCATGGCCTCTCCTCTCTTTCATTCTACTTTGCCAGTAGGCAGATGAGAGCAGCAAGAAGGCTATAACCCATCACATCTCACCACCCGCCACTGCAGAGACACAGGCAGAAAGGAGCACCTTGGGCTGTGACACAGCAATACTGTGCGTGCCAAAAAACCCGAAGTGTGTGTTTTGACAGCTGCTCCCCTGAATGGCTGCTAATGTAATCCACGGGTGAGAGCTCCCAGTGGATAAGTGGGTGATGGTGTTATCACCAGCCACAGAGGGCTTTTTTTTTTTTTGTCTTACAAGGGGCAGAAAGATTCATATGTTTCTGGTACTGATTTCCTTTGTTTCCTTAAAGGAATGCATCACTCTCCTTTTTTCTAATCTCATTGCCACTATCCTCTTCCCAGCCCTCATTAACCTCCTCTTAGGACTGTCCTAACTGAATCTCCTTGCCTCCAGGCTCTTAACTGATATTACTAAAGCACCATGCTGACCCTGTCACTCCTTTTCTCAAACAAGGTTCAGTAGCTCCCGATTGCCTCTAGAATAAATTAGAAATTCATCTGTCAAGACTTTCGCAATCTGGTACCTACTTATCTTGCTAGGCTGATTTCCCATCACCCCTCCTTGTGCACAAGACATTCTTCTGTTCCAACCAAACTGGCTACTTTCTGCTCCCTAGATACCTCTTCTATTTCCAGCCTCCTTGCCTTTGTTCCTCATTCCTGTCCCTCATTCCTGACTCACTCTACCTCTGCTCCTTTTTATTTTTTGTTCATTTTTTTTTGTGAGGCAAATGGGGTAAAGTGACTTGCCCAGAGTCACACAGTTAGTGAGTGTCTGAGGCTGGATTTGAACTAAGGTCCTCCTGACTCCAGGGCTGGTGTTCTATCCACTGTACCAACTAGCTGCCCCTCCTATCCTTTTCTTACCTCTTGGAATCCCTAGTACTATTCAAGGCACAGCTCAAGTGTCATCTTCTAAACAAAGAAAGCCCTTTATGACCTCTTCCGGTTTTAAGCACTATGCTGTCCCTGGAATTACTTTGGATTTACTTAGGCTCAGCAAAGTGGCACCAAGTACTGATCCTAGAATCAGGAGGTAAAATGGGTCTCAGACGCTAGTGGTAGGATGATGGGCAAGTCACTTAGCCTCCATCTGTAAAAGGGGACAATAGCATCTACCTCTCAGGGTTGCTGTGAGGATAAAATGAGATAATATTTGTTAAGCACTTTGCAAACTTGCAGACACATATAAATGCTAGTTATTATTATTGACTAATTTGTGTTCTATATTTTCTTTTCTGAGTACATATTTTTCCCAGTAAATTTTTACTCATTAAAGGCAGAAAGTGTTTGGATTTTTAGATTGATCCTCATCTCCTAGCGTGGTGCCCAACATGTAGTAGGTGCTTAATAAGTGTGTGTCAGATTAAATTCTATCTTAAATCTATCCTATATATCTTTTCCAGGGGTAAACTTAAAAACTAAACAA